GGTAGATACCAGCCAAGTGTTGCTACTTCTCTGTTCCGCTGTAACCGGATATAGGAAGAAGTAAGCTTGCAGTGCTGCTTTTATTTTAGAAGAAATGTTTGCATATACAAAGGATGCTTTATGCCAGACACTGCATGCTGGACCTGCAAAGTATGTGCAAAGACCAGGCTCATGCACTGAATGATGGCTCAGCATTCCTTCCCATCTCTATAATAAGCTTTGCAACTTTTCTGTTCTTCCCTTAGCCTACTTTCAGCACCTCCAGAGTGCTTAATTTCATTGCTCAGGACAAGAGGACAGTGTTGTCTTTTGGGACACTGGAAATGTGTCTGCTGTCAAGCAGGAGTGGGTATTAGACAGCTCATCTGCAATAACTTGATGGGGAGAGTTTGGAGGTCAGAGAAAACGTGCTGAAGAAGTGCTGCCTGCCTGAGCAGAGTGATTTTGCTTTCCCTGCACATTGGATCCAGACCAAGCTTGTTGTGAGGTTAAGGCGGGCAGGGTGGTGTTTCTTGCCACAGTGGATCCATGTGGACTGGAAGATGCTAGGAATTAAGGGACCAGTAGCTTAGTGTTGCTGGTGCATTTCACTTAGCACACGTAATGTTACAACTAGTGTCAAATTAAACTGAGGAATCAGTTAAATCTTTTCTTTCCATGCATGCCATGTTGGCTTTCACAGGAGCCCTTTCCTGTCAGCAGACTGCTTCTTCAGAAGTTGTTCTACTCTGAGCTTCTCTGAAGGGCAGCACTGATTGTTTCTGTTTTTCCAGGAGAAACTCTAGACATAGTTTTTAAAGACTTTATAGAAACAATTTAAGTGTTACTTACTGGCTGGAGACCTACTGCAGCCACAGCAGAAGCAAGCCCTGTTGCAGTGAAGATGGTGAGGGGGGGGGAGTGCAGTTCCTGTGGAGGCGTATCTTCTCTCACCTTAGCTCAAGGTGAGAGCCACAGTGGGAGATGTTGCCTTTTTGGGAAAAAAAAAAAAAAAACTAATAGGGTCTGCTTCTCACCTTCCACCCTGTGTGTTTTTGAGGGAGAAAGGGTTAGTAACAGTCACTTCAGGACTGGCCAATAGTTGCAGCTTCAAGAACAGCCAAAGCAGAAACTTTACACTAGTCATAGCTTGTTGGTTGGCAGAGGACAGACTGCCCTGGCATCAGTTGCTGTTGCTCTGATCATCTCTGTCCTGCAGTCTTTTCACCTCTGTTTTTCTTGATCCTACCTGCCTTCTGTCTGTATTTCTTACTTCAGTATTCTCTTTTTTTTTTTTTTTTTTCCCCCTGTCCTTGGGTTTGTCTCCGAGTGAAGTCTTTCATGACACCCAGTTACAGCACTGTTATATTTTCTGTTGCCACTGCACTTTTCTGAGCTTTCCTTGTTCTCTTGCATCTGAGATCGTTAGCTCTCTGGGACAGAGGCTTCCCACCACGCTGTATTTGTACAATAACTGTTACAGTGGGACCCGCTTTTACTGTCTAATAATATGATTAATACAGCTAGTACAAATAAATAATTCATTAGCACTTAGGTTTCTAAATTGGGGTGGGACACTTTATATTTTTCCTGCAATTGTTCCCTTCTTCCCAAATAAATAAATAAATGCATTAAATATGCAATAAATGCATAAGTAAATAAATTGAAGTGTTCTTTGTTGTTTGTCCTGAGGAAAATATGAGTTCATATGTGTCTTTGTATGGCTTCTGGCATCATGGTGTCTAGGTAGGTTGCTCTTCGAAGAGCTACATGAAGAAGTGATGGGAGAATGTGTGTTTTTCTGAGACCACTGGCAGGGCTAGTGTGTAAATGATACTCACTGGGAGATTGAGGAATAAAGAATGTGGAGATTGCTTGTGGTCTGCCTTGGAGCACTAAGCATCAACATTGAGACAAGGCACTGGGACCATTTTTAAAAATTTTTATTCTTGAACCATTGTTTTACCTTCTGCCTGTTCAGCATCCTTCCCCTGTCCAGAGACAATCACCTCTGGTGCCAGTTGACTGCTGAACTGTGGATCTGTCAGAGGAGGCAGTGCTGCTGAAGCAACACCTCTCTAGTCCTAGGGAATTGTGTCCCAAAATCACTTTGAAATTGGTATGACAAATGGCAGCCCGCCCCACTGAGAGACTGATGGTGTGGAAATATGTAGGTGTGTATGCTATCAAAGGCTAGTTCGGGAGCTGCACTGTTTTGTCTTTCATTTGACACTTCACCATTTCCTTGTTTTATGAATGTGTTGAAGATGCTAGTGCTTCATGAATACCGAACACAAGGCTCTTCTTTCCTTATTTTTTTTGCATGATCGATATGAAGATCTCAGCAGAGCACAGCACATCACAAATCTTTCCAAGCACTTCAACTGCTCCCTTCCCTCTCCCCAAAGGTACTGACTGCTATCCCAATCATCAAGGCGATCACAGTGTAAATATAAAACATTGCCAAGGCTCAGCTGTTACATGCTGGTGTGTGAACTAATGATGGCAGAGCTGCTGTTGTGTTGTCCATAAGGGGGAGACTGTGCCTAAAAGCTCCGGTCCCCTGTTGTCTCCTGTGGAGTGGCAGCTTTGCAAAGTGAAATTCCAGCTGTTACTCAGTAGCCCAGGAGGCCAGTTGCCTAAAAGTATGCCCCAGGGACAAGGTGGATTTTGAGAGATAGAAAAAGAGCAGAGGCATATTAGAGTAGTTGATGCAGAAAGGTGCTGCTTCTGCACAGCAGCTTGGGCTGGGCAGCGATGGAATCTCTCACAGCAGATGTGCGAGGAGGAGCTGTACCGTATGCAGAGCCTGGCCTTGGTAGCGTATGCTGGGCAGTAAAAACCTGGCTGCACAGAGGCAGGATTGAATCCAAGCTCTTCATGCTCCCCTGCCCCAGGCTGCCTCCAGGTTCAGGAAAACAGCTCTGCAGAAAAATCAGGCTGGGAGGCATTCTTCAGAGTGAAAGAGCTCGCTTAAAACAAATTAAACAGACAGACTTCTTCCTCTAGTCACTGAGGAGCTGTCCATTTGCCTTCAGGGAAATGAGGAAGGAAACTGGAATTCTTTCTTTCCCTTAATGTCTGTTGATTCTTGCGGCAGTGGCAGCTGGTTGCTGGTTTTGCTTTCCCTGGGTGAATCCCAGCTGTGATTGCAGGTGCCGCTCCACTAGCTCAGATCTGAGCAGGGACTTGTGAACAGGCGGCCCATGTTGAAGTGCTTCACAGCAGTGGATACAAATGAATGCTAAATCTGTTCCCTGGTAAATGTTGGAACCATGTGAGTGCACTGAACCCCTCTGAGCTGCCAAACCTTCTGTCAAGCCATAAGTTAAGTTGTTGTAAGTCTGTGTTCCCTTTTTTTCAATAGCTTGTAGTGTGTCCTGTAGGAGTGTAAATATGACTCCAGCCAGGCATGAAACATGCAGCTTGAAAGCCGCAGTGTTCGAGAGGCTGGGTTATAGAGAGTGTGATTGTGACTCACAGGAGCTGCTGCTCTGGTCGTATTGAAATGGGAAGAGTCTGGGCACGTCCACCTGCCTGCTTGCCCTGCTCCAGAGGAGGAGGGGCATGGGAAGCCTGGCAGGGGCCCTGCTCCGTTTGCTTTACTGATCTAACTGTCAAGGCAGGCGAGACTAGAGAAGCCCCTGTGCTAAGGACATACTGATGCTGGAGTGGCTGCCCCTGTGCTTGGACGGCATCTGGTGGGAATGTTGCAGTGAATCTCCAGGAGGTTCTGTTTGGTGTTTTGTTTTTTTTTAATGCTTCTCCCACTCCCTCCACACTGTTTTTCTTTATCTGTGTATTTAACCAAGAGGGGATTTCTTTCCACTGGCTCTGATTGGCACCACTAAATATCACTTATTCCTGGACTTGGGCACCAGCTCTTAGCTGTGATGAGGTCTGGAGAAAGGAGCTTGAAAGCCCTTCTGCAGGGGAAGGTGTGGGGAGGAGGGAACGCATTAGAGGGCAGTGGAGGGAGCTGGAGTGAATTTTCATGCTGATGAATATGAGAGTGAAAGCAGTGACTGCTGCTGTGGTGTAATTTGGCCAAGCAGGTGTTCTCCAGGTGCTGTCAGCACACATCTGTGTGGGCTGTTCCCATGATGGGCATTTACCTCGGCAGTGGGTCTCATGAGTAATATCCCAGCTAGACCAGCAGCAAAACCCAGCCTGGGGAGACTTTACTGTCTTGCCATTTGTCTTCTCAGCTGCACCTGACGAGCAGAGGAGAAGCTGAGGAAATACTCCAGCTCCAGTTTGAAATTTTTTTTTTCCCCTGATTATTTCACTTTCAGTGTTAGATTTCTCATACCTGCCTCTAGATCCACCTAGAAGGGAAGGGGAGTGTGTTGGTGCAGGCAGTGAGAGAAATGAGGCTGAGGAGTAGGAGTGATCAGTGTTTCTGCTGCTGGGTTTGGGACACTGTCATAAGTTATCTCTAATGACCTAAATTGGGGCTGAGGACTAAAGTAATTATGGAAGGAAGTCGAGGTAGTGGCTGCAGTGATGAATGACTACAAATAAGAGCCAACTACAACATTTTAAACATAGTGAAGATCTAAAGCAATAAACCATCAGCTTCAACACATCAGGCAACAAAATTCCGTAGAGTAAAATATCAGGTGATACCGATTTTGGAATGGATGGGGAGATACAGTTCTGAGCAGGCTGGGGCAGCAATGGCCAGGTTCGCTGTGTCTCTGCTGGAATGCTGAGCAACTCGCAGCCTGCTCCCAGCAATTCCCTCTGCCAGAGCAGCAAGCACAGCCCTGTATCTGCTGGGACAAATGCACCCATGCATAGGGCAGAGTCAGTGCTCACAATTTCCAGTGAGCCCGTGACTGAATCTGCATTGACCTCTTGGCAGGGAGCATGCCTTCGGCCGAGCGAGCAATACTGTGCTGTGAGGGAGGAACTATGTCTTGCAGGACTGTGGCTCCATGTGCACTGACTCAGGCTGATGGGGAATTTCTGCTGCATCCCTAAGCTGTTCCTGAGACCTCTGAAAATTTCCCTCTGTTTCAGAGCCATCATCAATCACTTCAACCCGAAGATAGAGTCTTATGCTGCGGTGAATCACATATCACAGCTCTCAGAGGATCAGGTAAGCCAGGCGTGCAATGACCTTTTCTCATGTTGACCTCTGGATATAGATGTTTAAGAGTACCTTGTGCTTACTGGGACTGATGATGTTGCAGCAATATGAGGGGTGAAGGTGGGACTCTCATGTTCCTTGTCCAGGTGTGGGCAAGAGAAAGAGAAGCAAGGCTTGCTTTAGCCGATTTTACCATCGCATGCAGGCATTTGGTCCCACAAATGCAGAAGGAATGGTACAAATGACAAAAATGTGCAGCATTGTTGGCAAGTTTGGTTGGAGACTGTGAGGATGCTGGTGTTTAGAATGGGGCAGGAAGTTTTTGGCAGTGAATTCAGTTATTGCAGAACTGTTGGGCATAACTTGATTTTCCATGATATTGGGGAACTAGAACTCAGGCAACTGTTGGTAGAAATTTTCTAGGGTAATTGAATTCCGTTGTTTTAGATTTTGAAAAGAGACAGTTTTAATAAAGAGGGTGATAGGGTTAGGTTTCCCTTCCTTAATGTGGCCTGGTTCGCTCTCTTTGTGTCCTGTTTGTATTGCATAAATGTGTAAATGTGGCTTTTTGAAAATAGGCTTCTCTGCTTGGTCTCAGGAAGGAAAGAGATGGCCTATTTCCCAAAATAAAATATTGGGATTATATGTTAATCACTCTTGGAGAGGTAAATGACTCTGCAGGAGCCTTTGGCGGACAAAATACATAGCTGGTGTGCAAGCTGGGGGGATCATCCCAGACACAGCTGTGTCAGCACCTCTGGAGCTTCCGGAGAAGAAATTCTGTGTGCAGTCTAGGACAGACCTCATTCGAGTCACCTTGGATTGCTCCTTCCACTGGATGGGATCTTATGCTTGTGCTTGTTAAAAGGTCCTGACCGCCTGTTGCTTTGCAATGCTTTTCTCTTTCTGCCCATGGTATTTTTACTTATTACTTGATGATATCCTTCCATGCTTCCCACTAACCTTTTCATTTATTGTCCTACTTGATCTGTAATATGTAACACCCCAAAGTCTCAGGTGGAATGCTGTACTGGTGCAGTGGGGAAAAAACTGAGGACCCAAGTGCTTTTTATTGTCTTTTTGATATAGCTGAATAGAAGAACAGTGGTTTTAATTTACTCAATTTTTCTGTATTGTTCTACCTTTGAGAATGACTGTACCTACAGCTGTGCTTTACAATGGTTCATGTTATCAGTCCTCATTCATTGATGATACTCTGATTACATCAACCCAGGCCCCTAAAAAAGAACAGCCTTTGATAGCCCAATTTAGAGTTGGGGGCTTGCATAGAGGGGAATTTTGCATAGTGTTTAGGTTAGTTTAAGAAATGAAATGAGCTTTTTACTGTCAGCTCTGTGTAGTATTCATCCCCCAGCAGTTCAGGGAGGTCAGGTTAAATCCTTTCTTCTTTGTGTGTTATTCTTTAAATAAAATCTCTAGTAGCAGGCAGATAATGAAATCAGTGCTGATGCATGGAGCATTTTGAGGAAGATGATTAGGAAGTTGAAAGACAGATTTCTCTTTTTTCTTTTCTCCCTTCGTGCTTTCTCTCAGTGTAGGGAGAACATCAAACAAAGCAAAGCAATAATAGGTCCTGGTGAACAGCAGAGAAATAAATGTCACTGTGGTGACGGACGGCGTGGTCTCAGTGAGGACGTTTAGTCGGCGCTCTGCAATTTGCTGCACAAGGAGGAAGGGAATGGAGACTTCTTGCCTCCACTTTCAATTAGGCAGTGAGCTCAGGTCTGTGTGTTGGATTGGGGTCTCCCCTCCATCAGTAGCTGTCCCACATGGTAAGTCAGTGAGAGGTAATGGTAGATGGCTGAGATCAAGGCCAAGGTCTGACTTTTGTGTAACAGAATTTGTTGTTTTCATTCTGTGTTAGCTGTTCAGCGTGGAGTCGGGGGTCAAGCTTGACTTCTGGCTACTCCAGTCTCTTTTTTTTCCTTCCAGCTGTACTTTTTTGTTTTTACATGTGTGTTCACTTAATTCCCCTTCCCTTTTCTCTCCACAAATATTTTCTACACAAAATCCACCCTCCTTTCCAGTCCTGTTTTTTGAAGTGTGCCACATTGAAATATTTTATGCTGACATTTAAGACATGCTACATTTGGGAGTGGTCATTCTCTCCTTTGAGTTATTTCGGTAGTTTCAGAAGATTGGTATTTCTTTACAGGGAACTTTTGTTTTTACTATTTTGAGGACCAAACTTTTCTTTTAATGAAACTTTCTTTCACAGATACTAGCCTTTGGCCACATTCTCATCCAGCTGCTCATATTCCTTTGTGGTATCTGAGAATCTTCTATTAATCAGGCAGGCATGGCTTTGACATAGCTCTATCTGAAGGGGAATTTCCAGCTGCTCTGAATTTCTTCCAGTTTTCTTGAACCTCATCAGCTTGCAGACTCTTACTTGAGCCTGTGTCAAAATTGCTGTGCTGCTCCCTCACTCTTCTGGCATCCTGTTCATGTGTTAGATGATTTTTTTTTAAATTATTTTTCTATTTGTGTATTTTTAGTATCCTTAAAAGTAGCTAAGTAATCAGCTGAAAGAGATTTTGCTCTATCTTTTTCTTTTCCTAATCCTATTGAGGGCTTTATTCCTTTTTTAATCACTAATGTCCGTTATTACCATTCTCAGTCTGTCGTTTCAGTGCTTTCTCCTTTTTTATTTATAAGCATTAACGTTAACATTACAAATCCCCATAGCATGTAATAGGCTCTTGAAAATGATGGACATGGGATTGTTTTAAGGGTAGACTGTTAATACCACTGTACATCTTCAGCCCAAAAGATCTCCAGGAACCATAGTTTGAATATACAGTTCTGTGTTCTAGTCAGGTATATTCACAAAACTTCATGGTACTGCTTTGCTGACTATTGTGGGGTTTATCCAGTGTTCAGATCAGAAATACTGGGAAAGAGACCTTTTTCTTTCCATATTCTCTTGAACAAAGAGTGGGAGATTCCCAGAGGCAAGCAAATGCCAGGGATTTGATGATGAGCCTCCTCAGTCTATCAGCACCATGTGAACCTTGCCAGTGCCGTTCTGCAAAGTCTACTTGCCAAAGCAAACTCATAATCCTTCCTAGTCGTTAGCTGTTTTGACCTTGCTGTAGTTCCTCACCATGAAACAGGAAATGGCTTAGCTGGTTATTGGCATCTTCCCTCACTTGCTAATTTGTTAAACCTGATTTTCAGTGTTAACTTATGTTTTCATGATATTCTCCCACTCAACGCGTTTGGCTCCTGCCTGCATGTCCTTTGAGGAACTGAAAGATGCTGTACAGTCAAAAGACAGGGTTGGCCAATAACTGCCAATGTAGTTTTAGCTCTTCCATGGAAGTGATTATTCCTGTGTCCTCAAAGATGTTTCAGTCCCTTCTCAAGTCAAAGGGCAAAATAGCCTTCTGTGAAATTAATTCATAGGCTTATCTGTACTCTCCAGATGCCTGGACTGCCTTGTACTTAATACCTTGAAGGCAGTGGACTTTCTCTGTGCCGTATCTGATCTGAGAAGCTCCCAACGTGTTTTCCAGCAGGAGGAGTTGCGGAGAACGGGGTCAAGGCAGCGAAAAAACAGCAACACAAGTGTTGCCCCAAGAAGGGCACACACAGACAAACAGACTGACAACACAGGACACGAATGATCTGGATGGGGTCTCACATCTGCCTTTTCTGGAGTTGAAAGAGCAACTTTTGTGAGAAGGCAGCTCTCTGCCTGATGGCGATGTGGCACAATTATTCTAGAGAGGCTAACCCCGAGTACTTTTGGTGAAATTTCCTCTGAACATGAATGTCTTGTGGTGCCTTGCATGCCAAGCAAGTCTTGTACCAGTAAGAGAAATTGCTCACTAGGGTCTCATTTTCTCTTTGGCACTTGTTCTTTCTATGATGTCTGCTCTAAGGGTCGTAAAGTTGAGAAGGCAGACACGTAGGACTGATGATGCTTGCTAGTTGGGAACATCTGTGTACTTTTTCTAATGGAAGCCACTCTTTCTTCCTAACCACAGCAGGGACACTGGGTACCTCCGATTTGGAGATGGCATAAAGTTCAGTGTGAAAGACTTTTGTCAACACCTGTGCTGTGTGTGTTGGTTTGGTAACTGCAGATGAAAAGTGCTGGGAGCCAGAACAGATTGTGATGGAAAAATGGGGCAACTGTATTGCTTTTGAAATTGTGACAAATGAGTGCAATACTTGGGTTGTTCCTCATTGTAATGCCTTTATAACTCAGGTAGCTGCAACCCATCTTGGTCAGGCAATCTCACAAAGCCATTTCCCTTTCCTCGAGGTCACACTTCAAATGTTGAATGCTCCTCCCTGCCCCCCCCATCCACATGGCTTTTTTTTACCTGGTGGGGCTTCGAGGGCTGAACCCGAAGTGCAGCCCAGAGAGCCTCCACCAGTGACTCACACGGAAGGTCACAAAAGGATGCAGTTGGGTTTAGATGCCCCAAAGTATTCTAATTCTGAGCCATTCATGGCATGGTTAATCAACTTGTTCTGGTTTCTGTAACTAGCAGCAAACCCCCTGGCAGATACCAAATGCTTTGTTGTCTTGTAGCGCTTCTGGTAGTGGTGTTAAGAGTTAAAAGCCTGTTGACATGTGTGGGTTTGATATTTTTTAAATGCTGAGTGCCATCAGTGCTAGGTATTACTATAATAAATCCCCCCTAATCTCTTACATTAATATAAGGTGTTGTGAGGGCTCCAGAAATACTTTAAAATCATTTTGGCAGAATGCTACTTCACTTCTGAAATGCAGTGAGCTTTGGGGTAGAGAGTATCAAGCTTGCTAGTGCTGTGTTGCACACAGTAATAGAAACGTGAAACTCCAGCTACGGGGTCACCAAGGCGAAGCCCTAATTTAAAGTCTTCACATCTTTGCAAATGAGGCAGCGATGTTGGGTTTCATGGTCTCATCACAGACACACCTACTCATGATTAATGGCTTGAAAGGGATTTTATTGTTTAAATAGAAAGAGCTGAGCTGCACCAGGTGAAAT